CACGACATGCCACTCGGCACAGGGTGCATCCATAGACGGGCAGATCATAATCCATGAGTGGGATAAGAAGCACTTAGTAACTCGTGAATGGATATGGTGTGCCTTTACAAGAAGCACAGACTTTAACAAGGTAAGGTTCTTTAAAAGTGTAACCAACCAGAACGAATTAAACGAAGAAACTTTAACAAAATACATAGAAACTAAGATCAAGAATTATCAGATACAAGATGAGAATGCCAATAGGGTCATAGACGTTGACAAGTATGTTAATCTCGAGTGGTTTATGAAACGCCTGACGAACACATGCTGTAATTGTGGTTGTCGATTTGAGTTTGAAATTAAGAACGGAAATCTAACAAGCAACATGACTGCCCAGAGATTAGACAACGAACAACCGCACCACATAGATAATTGCGAGGCGTGGTGTCGGGGATGTAACACAAGTGCTAAATAAAATCCATTAATGTGATTCTTATTTAGTTCTCCTTTAGTGCTATATTTATATTCAAATTAATTTAACACTATACTCCTATTAGAACTGCTCCTGCTTCTTATGTATTCTATTGTTTCCTGTGATTCAATTGTTCTATCGCTTGGTATTGAACTTTGAATTGATAGAGGTGGCGATGATTGTATATGTTCACTTAATGCTTCCTCTTCAACTGGAAGTAAAACACTTCTGTTTGAAGAGATAAATGAAGATGATGATGATGATGAAGGGTCATACGATTTTTTACGAGTCATTGGCAAATCATTTTTATCATCATATTTTTCTCTTTCTTATCTTGGTTCTTCTTCTCTTTGTGCTCTCCTTTTTTCGCATTTCTTCTAATTCTTCTCGTTCTTCTCTGTATTCATCCTCCCCGAACATAGCATCCAACATTCGCCTCATTATTGATTTTCCTCTTTCTCTTTCTGGTTCTTGTTATTGGATTGGTTCGTTTTCTACTTCTTCGTTTTGAGTTGGTCTTTCTTCTGTTCTAATACTCTCGCTTTTTTCAATTGAAGATGTCTTTTCAATTATGTCTGTTTGTGTTCCTTTATCGGGGTTATTGCTATCATTTATTAAAATGGTCTTTCTATCATACTTGTCTAAATCAAAATCATCAAAATCAACATCATCTAATAATATTCCTTGTTGTGTTCTTCTTTGTCGTTCTGGTAGTATTTTTTGGTCTGTGTGTCATTGCTTCTTTTAAAACTTCTTCATATGTCGGCTTCAACCTTAACATTCATACAAGAATTTATATTATAACAAACTCATTACAGCACTTCTTGCACCTGCGACCACAGCTTCTTTTACCGCTTCCTTTCCTGCATCTAATACCTACAGCTTTAGCACCACTTGCAATCGCTCCCTCTATGCCACTTGAGGATGAAGAGCCGCCTTTTCCTTTTTTCATTTTCCGCCATTCTTCCATCCTGCTTCTCAAAAGTTGGTCAATTATTTCATCCGTCCATTTACCAGTTTGTATTAATCTCTCAACAAAATTAACCAAATAATCTTTCTTTGTTATTGTGTTTCCTTTGCCTTTTGTTTTAAGGTTTGCCATTTCTTCTTTTTGTTCTTCAGTTAGTTGTATTCCTCTTAAATGTAACTGATATAATATATCATCTGCTGAAACATCTTTGTTTTTCCATCTGTCTATATTCTCATTATAGTCTATTGTTTCCTTATGTTTTCTAGGTATTTGAGGGGCTTTTGTTGTTTCATCATCACTTGCTGGTATTAATTCTGGGTCATCTTCAAAATCTTCTTCTTCTTCTCCTTCTTCCAAATTAATTAAAGGTGGCATATCTTCAAACTCTTCACCCATAACACCGACAGGTAAAGATTGTCTGTTTGCTTCATCCAAGTCGTTTCTTGCTGATGATGATGATGATGATGCTTGTTGTGCTTCTTGTCTTCTTTTATTGAACGCTTCCATTACTGACCTTATTCTCATAATTTGTTCGTCTGACATATCAAAATCATTGGTAGGTGTTTCAAAACCATCGGCGTTATAAGCACCTACTGGCGTTCTACCTCCATAACTCAATGGTGTAGCACTTCTATAATTCACAACGCACATGGAAGTACCTGTTTCTACTGCCGTTTTTCTTAGTTATGTTTGTCTTAGTTCTTCCTTTTATTTGTCTTCTTCTTGTTTCTTCAATCCTAGAAAATCAACATTATCAAATTGACTGCCGAACTGATTATTTCTAAACAAGGTTGCCCTTCTATCAATTGCCTGCTCAATGGGTGGCCTGTTAGGATCGCCTTGTGCTTCAATCATTCCCACCAGTTCATCATAGGTTGGCCGTAATTTTACTTCAGATTTTAATGTTTTAATCATGGTAGTATTTAATTAGATTTACATTAATTCTTTCATTAATGTGTTTAGTTCTCCTTGTTTCTTTTCTAATTCTTCCTTTGTTCTGACTGGTAACATTGGACGCTCTAATTGTCTATTAACCTCATCCAGTTGTCCTTGGTATAAGCTTTTTCTTTGATGCGTGTGTTCTGCCATCGCTTCCGCAGCAACCCTATTGAACCCGAGCAAGTGCGCTTGCGACGAAAACGCAAGCACGGACCAATCGTTTAGGAACCTTGTTCGCTTCTACAAACAACCCCTTGCCCGTTTTGGATGATAATACTACCTTAGATATATTGGGTGGGGTGTAGGGGGGGTATAGGAATAATCTTCTTATATGGACGAGGTACCATACTGGTATTGGTAATGGGGTAGTA